TATAAATAATTGTAATTTGAGTTTAAAAGTTTATAATTTACACCTGATGACGGTTTGATAAACCGAAACATGTTGTGAATGTTCCGATGTAAATCGAATGCTCGATATGGAACATAAGATGATATTTTAATCATTTTAATTATCTTATCTTACTATTTTATTGTGATTTGACGGTAAACAAATATAATATTTATTTTCATTATTATTGTATATATATAATAAAGAATTGAATTGAATTGAATTATCAGTGTTTGCCTGCTATTGGCTTCTTGCTGTTGGCAAACACGTAAATAAATTAATTGAATTGAATTAAATTATAAAGAACTGAATTGTTGTTGAAGATAAAGAAATGAATTTAAATGCTCCTAAAGCTACTGATTGTTTTTGAACATGTGGAAGGGTTCAGAAGTTGAAATTGTCTTTCAATCTATTCAACGGTCTTCCTGTATTTCACCTCTTGGTTCACATACCGTAGGTGGATCATTGCATTTAGGTTTTATTATTTTTACATGAAATATGTAAATATCTCTGTAGTGAGCTCGTAAGTACAGAATTTCGAATTATTATTTTTATTGCTAAATTCTCAAGTTTTTCAACAATTGAGGATGCGATGGGTGGGATTGTAGAACGCATATATGGCGAGAAATGTATGACAGATCTTAATCGGAACATTTAAAAAAAAGGATGACAATTTGAGAGATCTAAGTGAAGATGAAAGGACAATATTAAAACGGATTTTAAAGAAACAGGGTATGAGGTTTCGTGTTGGGTTCAGTTTTCTCAGGAATGTAGTAAAGATAATTCGGGTCTCTTCAAAGCGGGAAATTTCCTGGCCAGGTAAGCAACCACAAACATTTAATGAGAGATACTGCACGGTTGTTTAGCTAATTAGCTGATTCCCTTTTGTTTAAGCTGCTAGACATGTCACGACACAAATCAATGAAATTAAAACTTTCTAACACCACTGAAGAAACGTTGTTTTATAGTAAAGGAAAATCAAAACTCTCCCTGCACCTTAGAACCATGTCATTAAGTAAATATCTTCCCATTGTAAAGCTCAGAGAACAAACCTAAAAATCTGGGCGTTAACTCCCTCGGTAGGCAACCATCTTTTCCCATTATTTACAAGACTGTTTTTCGCCATAGCCAATTTGGACTTGGTAGAGAATCGAACCAATTTCTCCAGCAATGCGGCTGAACGAATTAAGTCTTTGTTAAAGAGCCCTTTAAATTGTACAAAATGCATGCAAAGGTTACGAGGGTGTGTGAATAAATTTTCGAGGAAAGCATTTGTACGTAAGACAGACGGTAACAGGAGGATGGAAAACATTTATCATTTCTAATACTTCTAGGGTGCAGCTGTCCGTAATTTAGAACATGTCTGGATGCTCGTGTTATCACATAAATTATAAACTGTCAAGTTTCTTGCTTCAGAACAACAAGTGATGCCCGCCGTTTTTTTTAAACATTTTGTGCAGCATTTAACAGAGCACAGAACTCACAGTTTGAATATATACATCTGTCTTAAAAAAAAGAAAGATTAATTTTCATTTTATTAAGCGAAATTACTTTTAAATATTTAATTACGCAGAAAATTTCAGGCTAACCTGGAACGAAGGCCCACCATTCTTCAGCAAACCGACAACCAATTATTAGGCCTATACTCGCTGATACAGACAACAGTTAATTATTATATAATTAACTACGAATGAAAAGAGATGTTAAGACATTTGTATTTTTGAGAACACAATTGCAGATAGTTTTAAACATGATTCGTGTTAAAAGTGAAATTTGTTACTTCGATAATTGGCTTAGTTAAAACAAAATACATTTAACTTGTCAGTGTAACCTTGAAGGAAGTTGATAGCAATATTGTACAAATAGCAAACACGTTCTTGAATTTGATATAGTGGCGACCGTCTATTTGATTTCAGACGTGAATAAATATCCATCCAAATTCCTAATATTTCAGAAGAGGTAGCGATTAATTGACTTCGATTGCTATATAGATAGACCTGAAATGTAAGAATATATTATACTTTAATATATAACGGCACGAAAACTTCAAACCTTCCACCTATTAATGCAGTTTAGCTGACAAACATTTATTATAATAGACATTATAAAGTAATATCTGTGCTATTTTTCAATTTACATGCAAATTTAAACAATTAACCCCACACATCGCTCTTACTATTATTTATATTCACCAGTACTTTGTACGGCTAAATTTACAAGACCCATACGTTCCAATTTGCACTGTTCGTACACCACAGTGGTAGAGTTTCAACTGTACCCTTCCTCATGTGACGTAGTACAGCCTTTATAAACAAATAAAGAAGTAATTCTTAACATTTATAACATACTTTATTATCCAAAAACAAATATGGAAGGCCATTCATCGTTATGAGGCATAAGTTGAATTATGAATAAGTTTTTAAATAGCTCTCATGTCAATTAATAGATATATGGTTATAAATGTATTTTCCATAACATATATATGGCGTATATAATAGATTTGACGTGCAGAATACACAAGATGGAAAGTCAAAAATTGCAAACCAGTTTTGGGGGGGAAATCTGCCTGTTTACTGTTCACAATATTTCCCCACCACGGAGAATATAGCACGGTAATATCTCTTGGTCCAACTATGAATCTAACGTTTAAATGTAAAATTATTTAACATATCCTTAAGGAACTGAGTCCTTTTTGCGAAGCATTTAGTACACTGAATTATTTAATACATTCCTCACCTTTATGAAACCAGGGGTCACAAGGGAATATGTCAAGAACGGCATACAAGTAAAGAGAGTTATCCCAACTCGCTTGTGCAATTAGTTTCCTTCTCAGCTAAGATATTCGGTAAATGTTCACCATAACCAGATGAATACAAATTATGTGATACATGAATTAGGCCAAAAGCCTTTTATATTTAGCTATTGCAATATCGTGTGTTTATAACTGTGACTAAATCCGCTTTTATCACTCAAATAAACCATCAATATAATTCAATTCAATTCAATTCAATTCAATTATT